ATATAACAATAATTTGCATGCTAACTGAATATATTTTTATCGTGTCAATTTTGTTTGCTTACACCCTCCAATAAATATGAGTAATCAATAAATGGTGACCTTTTTACAATTGTGCCAACAATAGGTTACAACAATAATATCGATGAAAAAACGCAGTCGCGAAACCGTGCGTTCTATTCTAAGTAGTGAAAGCTTGAAAATCAATAGCCAGCTTTATTTCCTCGTCTGCATTATTCAAACGTTGGGTATATTTTATGGAATTTGGTGTAGTACTGCGATCGACTACAATTTAATGCAACTGTGAATAGTGCTGACGATTAGGTGTAATTTGAATACAATGAGCGCGATTCACTTTTACGTAGGACGAGAAATTCTATTTTGACTGATATAAATTTAAATATTACGTGTACTGTCTGAATTCTCGTAAGTTGATGTGTGTTACGTTACGATCTCAGATACTAATACGAAAGTTCATACTTTCTCACATTGTGTCCTACAATACTCGCTGAGTAGCAAAATCTGCAAAAGCCTCCAAAATTAAAAAATCTATAAAAAATACCGCCAAGAAGCATTCAATAAGCAAAAGAAGAATATAATATTAATTTTAGTGACTGACCTTAACAGTCGACGGTGACGCTTCGAAATATTCCGTAAGTCGGTTTTCGGAATTTTGTGAACGCTGTCAGTAAGGCATGACGCTAAAGATAACTAAGAGAAATACCATAAACAATATCACGTATATAAATAAATGTGAACAAAACAAACTAGCTGTCCCTATTTTCTATATTGTGAGCTCTGTGTGCAAGTATAACTGGAAGTTTTTCTCAGTCGCACTCCGCGATGTGTACGGTTTCACGAACACACGCAGACCTGCACCTGGATTGTTGACACCAACTCTTATCAATTTGTCTCTATACTCTAGATTTGAATGCCGCATATGTTGAGCCATCATTTTTAGATGTAGGCGGCGGAATGGCTAACTTAAACATACGTATGTCAAATACCTACTCGTTTGTATGAACATGAACGCACAAATATTCATGGCATTACAATCGCAATTATATATTCGTAAATTAATGTTGGTAGACAATCTTGGTAACATACAGTTTCGTATTTTCTATTTGTTGGTGGTGAGTGACCTGATAAAGAGACTGTAATTGTAAAAGATCATGATGAAAATCTATTGCATTAAATTTTATTGAATAGCTCGGGTCGATAAGTAGATAAAATGCAGAGCACGAAAGTGCAGGGGTGGAGATGCTGCTGGCGGAGAGCAGTGGAGATGGCTGTTATCAGGTGACGAAGATAGCGCACTCAGACCCCTCCACCGAGCGGCGGCAATGAAGTCGCCATCAGTAGCACTCTCGGTGCCGAGCGCCTTGCACGTCGCGTTCGCGTGCAAGCGCACACCAACAGTGAAAGTCGCGTGCGCAAGTTCTGCTACATTTTCGTGCGTCGATATCTTCGTCTAGATATTCTGTTTGTTCATTGCGCCAGTGCAGCAGGGAAAGGAGGTCGGTGTTTGCACATACCCCGTAAGAACACCGTCGAAAATGTTAAAAGTTTTAAACCGATCCCGACTTTGTGTGGCATTACCCCAATATTGAATATTTGACCATTTTATTACTATAAAGTTATAACTGACGTAACTTTGCGAAGTAACACGGTTATATTGTATTTTATTGCATACAACATTTTAAACATCTATGTATTTATTCAGTTCCACTCGATTGTTGGTTGATTTCTCCTCGACAGATTTTTGCGTATACCCTCGTCAAGCCAGTCGCGCGTAAACAAATCTAAAACTTACAGATTCTGATTAATGAATAATGAACTGTCGAGTGATAAATTTGCGATTTCTTATTTAGAGCAGAACTGCTACAAGCGTCTACGAAGTTGTAAATGCTCCAAAACTGTTGTATTGAACTTAGTGTGCGAAAAGTTGGCATGTGTTGATGAAGTTATCGAACGTCCCTCGATGTCTGTTGAGCAACGCCAGCTGGAGCAAGAATGTGTCGTAGTGGGGTATTATATCCTTGTTGAGGTTGTACAACGCCGAATGGCATGTTACACTAGTTCAGTGAAACCGAGCATACGACCATGACCTAACATGCCATTTCATAAACAACTAAGCTGTGCTTCATAATTTTGTTTGAGTTTTTTCAATTACGGTTTAAAGTAATTCCCGTAATTTATTATTATATGAGGTGCCAAATTTTAACGACTGTGCACCTACTATTATATAACTCGCATGTAGGTAGCGTAGTTTTCTAGAAAGATAATCGATTGTCCCCTACGAATATAAAATTTTTCCATCTTTTCGTTTTATTTAAGAGCGATGCTCTTATCGATGTAGCACTGTTAAAGTATTACTGTTCTACGCTGTCTTCTTATTAACCGACAAAAAAGGAGGAAGTTCTCAATTCGACTATATTTTTTTTGTGTGTATGTTAGACGATAACTCATTCGTGAACCGATTTTGATGATTAATTTTCTGGAATGAGGGTACCTCAGCAGTGGTCCCATTTAAATTTGAAGACAATATTCCACCTCTAAGCATGGCAAAGTAGGGGATGAGGGGATGAATCCGGTTTTGCGCACTTTCCGGTAACCGATTTTATTGAAACTTGGCAGATGTGAGATGTTATTCCACGAGCCTTTGAGGTCGGTTTTTTAGTACTATGTACTGAGATTATTTCTTGGGTTATCATTCAACATCACCTGAAGTTTTGGTTAAAACCGTGAAAACAATTATATACTTGTTACAGTATGATAAAATTCTGATTATATTGGACTGAAAAAGAATTGAAATTTCTATGGATATTTTACGGCTCATACAGTTATACCATTCATAAAAGATATGTTCACCTAAATCCGCGAATATTTGTACTGTATTATTTATTTCGAAATACTAATGGATCCCTTTAAATAAAGTTCATAGAAGTACATAACCGTTCATTTAATTTTACTTGGACCATATCGTCGCCACAATATTGATAAAATTCACGTTTTCACCAAAAGCAGCTTATATAATCTTAATCACACATCAGGAGATTGAATCACACACATTTGGATGTTGCTGCTATCTTATCGATATTGGATATTAGCTCATAGTTCAATTGTACATTACGATTGGACGTGATTGAAATGAAATCAGTGTCAGTTATGCAAGTCCCTTTGCGCTTTGTATCACTTTGAAATCGGACACGACCTACATTTTTCTAGCAATAGGCGTAACTTGAGCACTGAGCTGTCCACCGCAACACAGGGCTGCAGCTAGGGAGTTACGCGATCAATAAAATTCAGGGTTGCCATAATGCACCTGCTAAGAATAATAAGTTTATTACATCTCATAGTAAATTCTTGTGCTACAATTATTCTTTTAAAATTCCCAACAATATCCATTTTTTTTCGATATTAAACACAAATAATTGAAGCTATTTGTTCTTTGTTTGTTCAACTTTCAACTCCATTTCACAATATTCTTACATAACGCCTACAGAAAAATAGTTGTGGACTTTCCAAAAGAGTTTTCAATAAAACTCTCTTTTGTTCGCACATGGCTAAATATCAACAGAAAGTATTTGCACCTGACTTGATATCCTTGGTAGGCCCATACATGGTCGTGTAAAAGGGTATCCAGTCCACTTCTGCATTGAATATGAGCATTATTATATGAGCTCAATCCCCGTAAGGATCAATATCGTGGGAATCTAACCGATCGAATAGTTTTGTCTTGCAAGGTTTTTTTTATTCAATTTGCTTTCTTTACAATCGTTTCTTCAACTCATATCACACTGCTATTACAATAGTGTTGTAAGTCAGAATATATGAACTTGAATTTCATGCTATTGCTGAGCGTAAAATTTGATTATCTACAAGTCAATAAAATCGCCGTTAGATTATTGTAAGAAAGAATTAAAAGACATCTACTTAGGTCAAAATGAGGCACACTTTTTGTGAGCTAGATCTGGACAAAACTTTACTGAGAAATATTAAATTATTTTTCCCTTTTATTATTAAATATATATGGCAAGTACGAAATTATTTGATTGTCTGTAATAAAGTTAACGTATATATAAATTCTAATAATCTTTCACAGTAAGTGAGTAATTCGTTTTCCATCGATTCCAAAAAAATAACACTTATATTGAGTTAATACACTAATGTATTAAGGGTGCGTTATGTTGACTTTGCTAATTTAGTACTAACTCAGTTAATACAATATTGTACGGTTAACTTCAATGAAACATGTATCCAAACATGCTTTTCTTACAAAAAAGTATTATGGTATACGGTATTTTAATCTTTTTATTAACAACACCAGAGAGAGTATATCCAAAGTTATTCTGCCCCATTTCTTTATTAGAGAGTCCGCCGTATTTTTGTTTTCGTGATTGGAAATCGGGTCGCAGTTTGGTGTGAGCCGTAGTGATTAATGAGGTCATTATTTGCACCAGATTTGGCTAAATTAACCAAGAAATTCCACATTACAACTCGTAATTATCACAGGATGACGTCCGAATACGGGAATATGATTGCATATGCAACTGCAAGTGACACAGCAACTTTGTTATAAAGCCAAGTCGTTCTCTTATTAGGCGTGTACAATTTGTCTTGTTACATATTCTTTATGTAAACCGGCAATAATCAATTATGTGCCCGTATTCTTACGGAACTTTGTTTGCAATATCAACAACAAGTCAATTTAAATGCTAAGTACAATGTATATTATGTAGAAAACGTATCGTAACTATATCAATGCATTGTTTTCTGTATTAAGATTTCAATGTATTTTGTATTTGGCATTTCAAGTGTTGTACCCCTCAACATTTTTGTTTTTTATAAAGTGCCTTTCGACTTGTATAACTTTTTTTTTTGCTTTTGCTTCAGTGATAATACTAATATTTTAATAAACCAATGCATTCTCTGCTTATTTTTATGAAGCCTTTTTAAATTTTGTTTTTATAAACTTCTTAAATGTTTCAGTCTACTGTTTAATTCATACCATTAATTCAAAGTTTTGTATTTAGTACAATGTTTTTGTTATTGTTCATCGCTGCTGCAAGATTTGTATTTTGTTTATCAGTCATAATGAACGGTACTGACTTATTGACCTACTATATTCTCCTATGTGAAGAGACTATTCCTAGTCTAATAATATGGTGTTGTAGCAATTATTGTTCATTGGTTGTAATTGATTCTGATTCGCATTGTGCCATAAATATTCCATGAAATAATTCCCGTTTTCCTCGAATCTGCAAAACATGCGTGTGTCATGCTGATAATTGATGTAATTACATTTAAGGAAATGTTGTCTCCGCGTATGGCACAGCGTTTGTTTTGTTTGCTCTCGGCGACAAAATTGTAACCAAACTCGTCTCAGATAGTAAGTGGTTCTAATAACTCTACTTAATAATAATAAAATAATTAATTGTTACTTTTATCTCAAAGCTCGTAATCCTTCAAATAAGTATGTCCAAAAGGAACAGTATATAAACATACTTCTCGTCTTCTAAAGTTGAAATGGTTACATTATTCGTATCAGAGAATCATTTGTGTGCTCGGCTAATTTAGATCAATGGTTTTTGTTGTTAAATTGTACTACATAGTATGTAGTGACTTGCCAGTTGTCCCCAAAAACCGTGTAATAAACACGTGATACTTTGCGGTACGCTTTTTCAATGTGTAACAAAGGAACTTTGTAACTGTTTACTACATTTCTGTTTTCTGTTCTGCCAGCAATTGTAATGGACAATAAAAATTCATGAACGTGCTTAACTTATATTATAATATAAGTTAACAGCAGACAGTCTATTTTACTACATCATTTCCATATCAAGAGACGACACTATCCAGTCAGTCACATGCATTTAGGATTCTATGTTCATTTCGATTGAATTAATGATTGGCGATTACTTCTTTGTCCGGTATAAGTGTATTTGTTAACAATTAATTTATATTCTGAGCACGTTGTCGTCTCATTACCTATGCCTTGTTTATGTTGCAGTCCCATTGTTCGTACCGTTATTGTATCTCGCTGCGTTCTTGCTAATGTATTCCCTACAAATAAAAACAAATGAAGTCACTTCGATAAATTTGTGAGTAATTATGTAGTAATCTTTTCAAGTGCATTTGAATTTTATCTTTGTGATGCCTGTAGTAATAATACTGAAAATAGACTAATCCTACGCGCGCTCGCTGCGCGCCAATAATCCCGAAACCTGCGATACCGGTTTCATAGACTTCCATCTAATCTCTTAAACAGCAAGCAAATTTTAAATAAATGTAAAATATTATTCTAGAATATTCGCAATAACTCTATAGTCACGCAAAATGTGTTAAAGATATTCGCACGTTTGTGTGTCTAACGAAAAGGCAATTGAGATGAATATCGAAATATTTTGGAGCATCAAAATCGCATCAAGAAGGACCGATTCCATAAAATAGCCTAATTGTGGCCTTGTGAGCATGAGCATTGCTTGTCTTATCGGTGAAATTTATCGAAACATGAATTTTTATTAAACTTACATTATGTTTTTGAAGAAAATCTTTGAGATAAAGTAAGTCTGTCTTGAGATTACTGTGCTCACTTTATTGGCTGGTCGTGATATCATCCCGTCCTATGTCAGTCAGTCATTCAATGTTAAGATCATACTATTTATAAAATAATATTTTTATCTTTTGTATATTTCAATAAAAGTTAGAATTTTTAATATTCTAAAATCAGATAAAAGCTAATTTATTAGTATATGTGTTTTTTTGCTTTCTATCGTGCCAATGCGGCTATTTAGATTATCGTAGTATTAGCTAATTTCTAACTATTGGTTACAATGTTGCATAATTTGCAGTGTAGTTTACATTTGATGATCAAAAGAAGATCGAGTAAATAAACTGTCCTTGTCGAGACCTTCATCATCTATTTCGCATTCACGTATAGGAAACTATCAATTATCTTTTATGGCGATGCGTATACAGTCTAATGGCCTGCTTAAATGCTGTTTCCTCAATATTTTAATTGGAACGTTCCATCTAGTTTGGTAAATTTTGTCACCGAAAATGTACATAATTGTTTATTGGATATGTTTACGTTGTAGGAATACTTTACGTACGGAATAAGTTTTATAATGTTCAGTACGTGCGATAACTATGGAAGAACAAGCGTAGTAAAGGCGCCAGCACATTTACGAGCGTTTGTGCGTGCTTTATCACTATTAGGTTATTACCACAAACCGCGTAATGATTTAAAAGCCGAATGCGACTCATAATGAAAATAACCGTAACCAGAGAATAAATAATAAGAATACGGACACTCTCCGCCCCTCCCTAGTTTTAGATACCGCACCACGCACCGCACATTGCCGGTCACATTGACTGAACGACAACAAGGCTGCCGGCGAGCCGTTTTCGCGCGAAGATTTGATATTTGAATATAGTTTTCATTTATTCATTACGAAACTTGTACGTTAATAACATCACTTTACGTTACTATTTATGATGGTCGTGAATTGTGCTGTGTACGGCTGCTTATCATCATTTTCCGAAAGATAAAACGTAGTTTAAAAAAAATATATCTGAGACTCATTCAGTTATTGTTTTCTTCATTTATTTATTGCAGAGTAATATATGTATGTATAAAAAATACAGATTTATTATATCAATATAATGAGACGCCATGACTTCGCGAATTTTCTATTCGTATTGCCGATAAATATTACGTAGGTAGTGAATATATCTAATTATTAACTAAATTTGGACAAGCAATTTCAAATACCTTGGTTACCGCACTTAAAAGAACTTTGTCCGAAATATAATATATAATATAATAATAATATTTATTGTTACAAAATAGTTACAACACAATAGTGAAGTCCCTGACACCTGAGCTAGGTATAACCTGTGTTACAGGAGTCAGTGTCCTCTCTATAAATTACATTATAAAATTTTAAGTGCTTTTAATACATTTTTGAAATAAATCTTCAATATTACTCTAGTTAGTGAATTAATGAAAAATATAATAATATATCGATATAAATACCTAACAGACATGTATAATTATTAGGATTCTATGAACAGAATCATAGATAACAGGTTCGCGTTAGAATTTTCGCTATGTTGCCGCTCTGACCACGTAACGAAATAGTGCGAGAAAGTGGTGGGTAACCCTGCCACTTCACGCACACATTTGCGCCTGTGCAGATATTGCCTTGCTGTATGTAGTAGTAGTAGGTAAATAATTGTCGACCGTTGTATGGAGTGTCCGGGGTGTGCCGTAACTATGGCGAGTCCAAGGTTTTTTATCAGTCCCGCACCCTGACTACGGCTTCTCATTATTCGTCTGTTAAAACATTATGGGCTACATATCTCACAACATCTGAAATAGTACCTCTGTTTTATTCTCCAAAGATTCTTACCTAAAACATTTATTGATTATCGCCTGTTTCTAAGACGTTCCTAACATTCGTGTCACAAATAGTAATAATAATTTACGTTATGTCGTTGTTATGACAGAGTAGCTCTAGATCTTGTTTTAGCTGAGAGCGTTAATAAAAACTTTCTGCGCACTTCAAACAAAATGTAAACATCGTCAAACTTCAAAAGCTTTAACGAATTACAACCTTTTACTCAAGTGTGTTATCAACAAGAGAATGTGAGGTGCGCTTTAGCTTCTAAGTTTTCGTATCTGACTGTTCCATTGTGTAAACAAAAATGATTTGGACACGTACACGTATCTTAATCACACCATAGCACATTGTGCCGTGTATAAGTAGACACTAGCAATGGAGCTATGAATTGCAATAAATCGCCGCTGATAAATCTATAAGTTCGCGATACATTTTTGCGTCGTGTTGGATACGAGTATGTTACGATAAAATCGCTTGTTTTTTAACAATTTATACGTAACTAGTGTCGTATTCGTTAGAACTGGTGGCGGCGGGCGGAGTCGCGTCTAATGTCTCTTTTTGATATGTTAATCCCCTCGGTGACATTGGGAGGCCGTTTCTTATAAGATTGGCCTATATGGGTTACCTTACCGTACTGTTCATATACTTAATTGTTATGCTCTACGTTGAATTAGGATTTTTTTTCAGTTCACTCTGCTCAATCTCATCTAACTTATCTGCTCATTTTGCCTTGACCCAGTTGTGGCAACATTTTAATTTTATTTCGTAATTGTTATTTAGTTTTAGTGTCTTAATGAAATAATTGATTAGAATAAGTATAAGAAACAATAGATATTTTTTAATGATCTAGTTCATTGGCTTCATGCACGATTATCATATACGTATTTCCATTAACGAAGCTCTAAGCTTAATAAGTGTCAATTAATAAACTCAATTGTTTCACGACCTTGATTACGAATGTCCGACGGCACAACTGATTCTGTTTTACTATTTCAAGAGACCAATTCACGTGACATACACAAATAAAACCAATAGACACATTTACCGTCATCATCAACCCATTTATACGTCTCACGACTGGACACGGATCTTCTCTCAGACGAGGGTTTAGACCATAGTTCGCCACTCAGGCCCAACTTCACATGTTTTCCGAGGGCTGTGAATTTTTTCGACGTGCAGGTTTCATTTCAGCTCGTGGTAAATTTCAAATTAAATTTCGCACATAAATTAAAAAAAAAACAACACATTATGGCGATGACAGCGTAAATCGCAGTGCTCGTCAGAGTTCTGGATACAGTCCAAATGCAGCAGCATTTACTGGTAAGGTCATAGGTGCTATCAAAACGTCGTGAACCGGTAGCATCGTCTCCTCTAGTAAAAAGAGGCGGCTATTTATACAAGCTGTTAATAACTTTCCCTGGTTCGATGAAGCGCGCGTGAACCGGTGACGCCTATGCTGTTACGAAAGCTGCACCGCCTGCTCACTTATATGGCATAGCGCCTGTCGCCAGAACCCTCCACGACACTTGTTACTACGATTTCTTACTTGTTATTACGAGTTGAAAATAAACCTCAGCAGTTTTCCAAATAGACCTTCAAGATTACACAGTCGAGTCATATATTGCTCAAAGTAACATGTTCAGTTTCTTTGTCGTGGTATATATATCACCTTTATAATTAACTTCCGTTTAGATTATCACACGTGACTAGATAAGAAATAGCTCCCGAAATATTTGACATCGTTCGTTACTAATATACCGTTATGGCTTAAATTTCAGTTTATTGAAACGGATAACCAATTAATTCGTTAGCCATTGTCAGTGAAATCAACCAATTTGTCGGACATTCTGAACAAAAGTCGAATGGCCTGCAGGCGTTTCGTGCCTTTGGCAGCAGACTGATGCGACGGGCCATTTGTACTAAATCCGGCAACTCCGTGCCGAGGTGAATGTCAAAGTATGATTAATGAAGCTATAGAATAAAAAGGGTATCTTTTTTCAAACCAAATTGATTGGATTTTCTTTTTACCACCCTAATTTAATTTTTCACAGCCTTTATGTTTGTAATACGACTGAATACGTATTCAAAACTAATTCGAAAATAGATTATTTACCTGTATCTGTTCAGATTGTAAACACCTCTTTGCCACACATTAGGATTGGGATCGTTTTAAAATTTACGGACCGTTGGTTTTTTATTAATACGCTGAACAGTGAACGAAACCCAAAGAACTGAAAATATTTGACATTATTTTCTGAGTTCTGACAGCGTTCCATCAAAAATTCTAAAATGAAGGAGCCGTGACTATAACGTTAGCTCAATAATTTGGATATAAGTGTAAGTGAATTTTGTGACTATGAGTGGAAGTGAACCGACGCTGACGGAGTCGCCGGTGCCGCTGGCATTGGCGCGGCTACAGGGTGGGCGACCGCGGAACGCTCCACGCGGACTTCGCACGCACCGCCCCAGTCTGCAACTCGCCAGCTTGCAGGAGTCTGCTGATGAGACTCCTCGACGCTTCAGCGAAGAACCTCCTGCACCCGACACTGACGATGATGAAGCCTTCTCTGATTTAGCCGTGGTTTTTGATGATAAGCCAGCACGTCCAATGCCTAATGGTCGTAGAGCATCCGATGCTACTTTTGCAGAAAGGTATAGAAAATTGACCGAATTTGATGCTCCCCCGCCTGAAGCTCCTCGACGGGCTTCGTTGGCCGTTCCGGTTGGGATAGAAGGTTTTGGGCCGAATGATAAAGGCCGCCGACGTTCATGGGCTGCGCGACTGCAGCTCGAGCGCAAAAAGAGACGAAAGTCAGGAGGCAACGACACTGACGAAGAGGGGGACGTACCGACTTATGTGCGCCAGAAGCGACCCTCCTGGTGGAACGTGTTCGTGCCGGATAACATGCTAAAGAACAGGTATTTTAATTCACTTCATTGTTCTTGCGACTCGTCAGTTATGTTTTAATCTGATTTCCTGACTTATTGATTAACATTGTCGTTTTTTTCTTCATGACGGTTGCTCAATGCACCTATATGCATAAATCGAGTATTAATTGATGTTTACGTTGTTCGAATGACGGTAACTCATCATGCAATGCCATATAATGTTCTATAAAGTGTTGCAGTAGAATGGAAATGAATAACTACAACTCCATGAACTAGATTTCCTTGACTCAAAATGCTCTACTCCGAGTCCGATTGTTAGTGCTGCCGAAGTGGGTGCGCTCTGTCAGGGTCGCCAACGTAAACGCACAAGCTGTTTTTTAAATAACACACTACATGATTGACCTACGCCGAATTTTAATATATCACATGACTAAAATAAACTTTACAGTAAAGTTTTCTGTCTCGGTTTTTCTTCTTTTATTTTCGTTTTTTCTTTACATTGCATATTTCGTGTTCTTTGACGCCTTAAAACTCGAAATTTTGTTACTGCACATACTGGTCTTGTTATTATCACGTTTCATCAAGAAATTTTTAATTAATTAGTTTCTTGCTTTCTTCACGCGATTAACACACAAAATGTTACGAATCGACCTTACCTTATTTAAAAAAATTTTTGATCGTTATAACTGTTGTCCATGGTACGACAAATAAAGTTGAAAAAATTCCACATTCAAAAAGCCTTCGTTTTCAGTTGCTACTAAAAGCAAATATACACAAGAGTGTTTACCTACGTGACAAATTTACGGTTTCGTTTTGATAAATCAGTCGCTATCTGATTTATGTTGGCATTATTCTTATCTGAGCAAAGTAACGTACCTGATGTACGTAAACAAATATTTTCATAATCTCCGGCGCTTACTTTAATGTCTGTTTGACTGATGAATGCCATTTTGTGGACATAATTATAAATTTATCTATAACTTACCGTAATGGTAAAATCTTAATTAAACGAAATCTTTTTACTCTAATTCTACATAATCTTGATTTCGTTTGTGTCTGCTTAGTTAATAGTTCATAAACAACATGGTGTATATATTTGACTTATATAAGCTGTAAAAGGTGGGTTTTTGATTAGTTAACAATATCAATGTGTATAAAATCGCGTTACCCGAAAGAGGAAACGATATAGAAAATTCAATTTACGTTCTCTATCGTCGTCAGTACTAGGTACGACATTTTTTAACGTTTCACAAAAGAAAATTTGTAGTACAATTTTCACTAATCTTTAGTAATTTTCTCTTTTCACATATTACTTTTCTTTGAAATTTTCATTTAGTCGCGTGACATTTGCACACCGGAATCTTCCGTTAAAAAAAGGAATGTTTTAATATATACTGCGAAATGGCGTGTACGTAAATATCGACTTAGAGAGTGTATCTCATAAGCATACTTTAAAGTTGGTCCAGGACTAATTTCATTAAACGTGTAAACTTATATTACACGGCAAATTTGCAATGGCATTAAAGTTAGCAGTTAGCATAACGCTAATGTATTCAAGGATATGCCGATATTAAACCGCACTCTACCCTCCATTTGTCGTCCCATATGCGTACATTGTCTGTTTATCTACCACTCGTATCTCATCTGCCAAGTATATATGCCCTATAGGACACCTATGTATAGTGGCTAATGTATATTAAGTACCGTAAAGGATATTCCTATAATGACAATATATTTACAATATGACGCTAAAAGGATTTAAGCCAGTTAGCAGATTCATTACTCTTCAAAATTTTGTCACGATCTGTTTAACTCTTCGTACCTAATGCGTGTGCAAGCTATTTGTAAGAAGATTTGCAAAATACTTTTTTGCCTTGACACTTGCTATTTCTTTACAGCAGTCACGTACGTTGTCCAGTCAAATTGATCTTAATCAACCGGGAAGAAATTGGTTTCGCTCATCGAAACCCGCCAGAGTAATCTGCCTATTCAATCGAATTGTTTTTCTTGTAAATAGCTTTGCAGAATACACCCGCCTTAATACTATGATGTAACTTTCATCTTTCATGTAAAATATACACTATTTTTTCAGTTTTTTTACGCAAAAGCAACGTACAAAGATAATATATAAAATATGTATAAAATTAATGCCCGCAAAGAAGTTGAACTTGCATTTTAATGGATGTTGAATCCATTTTCATTGACCGCCCTTAGCCACCCACTAGTACTGCGTTCCACAAACAATAATGTGCTCGGAAGATCAGCTGTAATAGATGTAGGCGAGGCTTAGGTGCTAGGAAATGTCATTATAATAAATAATTGGTCTCACGAAAAGGCGAAGGTCTGGGAAACGTGAACCATGTTATAAATATTTCTTTGTTGTCGAGTTTTTAATCCAACTAATTGTTAGATTACTCGGCAATACCTCAATAAGTAATATGTAAATGCCAGTATATGCATATTTCATAATATTTCATAAATAAAATTCTTTGTTGTGAATGATTCTAATAAGAAGAAAGAAGGTTTATTACCCTTTGACGCTTTAGTAAGACGTGAAACCACAAGATTCATGTGTGTTGCAAGAAATCGCGTCATGAATCTAAACAGTTTCGTCACCATGGGTCTAAGCACCTCATGAACATTGTTTCCGCAATCGAACATTCACTTTTGCATTTCTACAGCAGGTTGCCTTCAGATAACGGATTTAGTTTATTATCCGATATAGATTGTTCTGTCAATCTAAACATGTAACAATGAATATTTGAAGTTAGAAGCGTTCAGAAATAAGATCGGTGCGTAGGAAGATATAAAAACTTATGTAGAATACATACCTATAAATACAAAGATCATCGTTCAAAATTATGTTTATTATGAATAATTCAGCGACTAGAGTCAAAGACCCGAGGTCCAATGATATTAGCATCCTCGTCTCGTGCGCTGATCGCTGACTGCTACTCATTACTGACGCAAGCCGTTTCCCTGATGCAACGCGATGAAATACACATATACTCGTAGTAAGGGTTATTGATTATTTTTACATGATAGTATGATTTGGTCGCCACTAAATTACATAGTTTTTGTAATTTTTATTAGAATACTTCGGCTAATAGACGCATTTTCATATTAAGTTTCATTAGAAGTATTTATAGAACAGATCTAGAAATAAGTTAAAATATTTCGCTACAAGTTTTTTGCGACAGGCTTAGATTAGAGTCTTTAAGTTGCAGATGCCTAATTATGATCTGTAGAAAATACCCACGTCGTAACTTCAATGGATTGTCCTCAGATTGAATCTCGGAACATTGCCAATGCTTTCTATGTTTATTTTATGCGCATTTGTTTACTGATTATCTTTGTCGGTTTTAGATCTAAGATTATTTTGAATTTTAAATTGCCTGACCAGTGAAAATATGATAACTTAAATCAATTATGTACGTAATACGCAATGAAAATAACGAGGTTATTTTTGACAAATGTAATTTTTTTTTGCCTCTGGAGAACAATATTTTTGAAGGTTGGCAGTCCGCCAGGGTTTACTTCTGTTAGTCGCTCCTACTTCGTTTATAGTTATTGCAAAATATATGAAGAGGACAAAAACTAGTCTGTTTCATATATTTGTTTAGTCTGTGGTTTGTACACAATCATTGTTTTATATGTTTGTAGACGCAACGCCAACACTGAGATGTATTTTTGAGTCTGGCACCTGATTAATATTGTTATTTCATCAAATCGCTGTCATTATTTCTATACTGGCAATGCACTTTATTAAATTGTCACTGATATGTATGTTGCCCTTAAAATGTCTTTGGACTTATCCACAGACCAAATTATCTTTGTGATTTTATATAATATACTAGCGATATAAGTGTAATTAATCAACATGCTGTATGTATATCTGAGCCTGTGATTGATATTATAGGTAGTCTTGCTGATAATTCTAATTCACTTGCAATGTTAAACAATTGGATAAAAAAGAGTTTTTCCATCTAATTAATTAAATAGATTAACAAAATACAAGACATTGTAGTCTTACATAGTCATACACGGCAGCGTTGTTTCTCCTGGTCTGTTATCTCACATTAACTTTAACATTAAACCAAATCTTCGTCGTCCTAAAACCTTTGTGTTAAATGTTTATCGAAATAACACATCCTTTTATAACCCCGTGACTAGAATATGCCGAACCTACAATGATTTACTGATATCAGAATCACAGTCACATTGATGTTTTCGACAACAATCTTTGTCGAATTCGTACCAATCTCCTCAAATATTTCAACTCCTAATTAAAAAAAAGTAAAAAAAGTCCTGCCAAATTAATATACTTTGTACTAACATAGGTTAGTCTTTAGTTGCATTAGTTTTAAGTTGTAATCTCACTTTTCCACTTTTTTGTTTTGTGTAATCCTTATGCAAATATGTTTACACTTCGCATAATAATGCTGTATGTACAAGTATTAGGTCTACATTCTAGATTAAGACTATAAATTATATCGCAATTTGTTCCACTGAATGTAAACTGTTTTGTACATCCAATAAAAAAAAATACTCCTGTCAGTTCATAGACCGCCACAGCTCCCTCGTAAATTTCTTCTTTTGTAAGCTATTTTCTGAGCTACTGGTACGACTGATGTTAATATCTGCATTTTATAAAGATTACAAAAAATGCAAATATAGGCACTTATTATGTATTTCTCTTCAGAAAACATATTTGTTTATGGATAAAAATATGGCAATTGTCTCAAACCGAATCTAGCGAGAGAGAATTATCATAAATCTCGATTTATTTTCGTGCTTGTACGATAGGTCTGTTAAAAATAATGCTGAAGTAATCAGGGTCGGATAGGTCGACTTTGCTAAAATTAATATTGAATCTTGAATCTTTGCAAAGGTCGAAATCCGGATGTTTCCGTTTCGCATAAAAGCCTCAATTAGCATTATCTTAATCGGCGTTTAATGTTAATGCATTAATGTTTTGATTGCCTCTCTGCAAGCTGCTGCGGATTTTTGAACGCGCTATACGTATTTAC